TTTTTTTTTTTTTTAAGTTTGCAGTTAATGTTTCTATGGTATTTCCCTTAAGGTTGGTATTCAGAGTTATTTAGGCATGTTCAAAAGTCAAGCAACAGAAAAGGTTTTTTTTTTTTTTAAATTATCTTTTAATGTATCTTCCATGGCAGGATAAATACGCAAAGATGAGCACTTAAAAAATAGCTGTGGTCCTAGTAAAATGAGAACTCAAAGTAACAGTACAGGAAGAGCTCCCTGGGAATGTGTGTGTGTGTAATGGGCCTGTGTGCCTGTGTTTACATCAGTCAACGAAGAACAGGAGGGGTAAATGATCTGCCCACAAGGTCATGTCCCTCTGAAGATATTTAGAATCGCTAAACTTTACTCAGAGTTGGCTAGGTTCTTAACCTGGAATTTTGCTCCTCATGGCTTTGTCAATATCTTGGATGAAAATAATCAAACGAATGCTCCAGATGTTATTTGCAGAAAAGAGCAACAAATAGAATTATTGAACCAAACATCAAGAATAGAAAGATCTCCGAAAGCTCAATTGTATCGCTAATTTGAGGCTGGGAATCCTACAGCTCTCAAATCGAATAGGGCAAACTTGGGGCTGAGAACCACACTCCATATGAGCTCTGTTCTATAGGCCATTTTTCCCTGGCCCTGTGCGAACATCCCTGGTCCTGCAGGACAGACTTGAAGGAAGACCCAGGTCTCGTATGAGCGGAGCCTTACCTGATGGTAGCCAATGTAATCTAGGTTGCCCGGGAGTGGGAAACCTGGTGCCAGAGACAGCTCTCCTTCTAGCATTTCTGGTCTGATGAATTCCTCCAGATACGTCCTGCAGAGTCTCCTGTCCCAGTCATCTGTGATATGGCCTCCATACATGATCTCTCCAAAGAGGTAGCGCAGATCATCATAGGGGACCTGAGAGACAGGGAAGAAAGACCTCCACACAGACATCGGGGCTGCCCTGATCTGTGGGCAGAGCGTAAGCCACAAGACAGGATGTTGCTCAAGATTAGGAGCAATGTTGTATTCACCTGCACACCCCTAGTGCCTAGCAGGGTCAGGCATGCCTGGGAGCTCGTTAAAGGCTTGAAAAATTACATCCAAGGGTGAGTGCAGGCAAGGTGCCAACCCCCTTGCAAAAAAGCCTTCCCTTTCTCACGGTCATTAAGTCAGGTTCTATCGACAAGTCCCTTCCGTGGGCGAACGTCACATGGAACAAAGTAAAGACCAGGGTACTTTCCTAATTTCCTGCCATTACTTAGCACATTCAGGTGCTCTTTTTGGCCTCGCGCTGGTCCTTGGCTGGCCTTTCCTTCCTGTACTTGGAGAGGGTGTAGACCACTCGCAGTGTGCGCCCCTTCTCCCTGTGCTGGCGCTTCCTCATCCTTCTGAGAGGCGCCCCACCCCCCGCACCCCCCTGCCCTGCGCCGGCCAGAAACTCTACCTTTGTGTTGGCCTCCAAGAAGTTGTAGAGCACGTTCACAGAGATGGTGAGGTCCCCGGTGTTGAAGGGGTATGAACGATTCCATCCCTGTGGCCCAAACTTCCGTCTCTCTGCCACCACCCCGTGAAAGTAACAAAGAGCAAAGAGGATGCTCTTAAACTCCGTCTCCCGGGAACACATCTCCAGCGTGTCCTGCAAGGAAAGTTGCCTCCAACGTCAGCACAGATCTGCTGTTACGCAGTGCAGACCAGCGTATGGGTTATGGTGGTTGGAAGTTGCGCTGGAGAAGTTTCCTGTATGTCCTGGTTAGGTTTTGAGCTACCGTCAGACTACAGATTGCATTGTGGGTAGGCGTGGGCTTAGGGTTCGAGGGGACCCTGGGGAGGGTGTGGGCTCTAGTTTAGAATCTGAGTTAAGGTTTAGATTCAGGTTATTACAGGGCTTGGTTTGTAATTCATGTTTGCACCCACGGACGTGCCAATTAAGTTCGCAAGCGCAGCTGATGGAAACTGGGGTAGTGGGTCCTGAGGGGATGTCAGGTGTCAGAGGATGGGGTGTGGGTGGGGACTCCTACAGCATCATCTTGAATTTCTCCCCTTCCTGCCATGCTTTTCTTGCCCATCTCGGAGCCAGAGTAGGTGTGGTCATGGCCCGTGTGACCGAGGGGGAGGGAGGGAATCAGAGCCACGAGGGAAAGAGGAGTGCCGTGCCCTTCACCATGACAACTGCTCTTCTAAACTTGAGCAGGGGTGACCAGCCACGCGGCTGCAGGAAGGAGAGCCCAGAGGGGTCCTGCCTGCAGCGCATGAGGCGGGGGGAAGGGGGGAGAGAGGGCTCATGAAGAGGGGATTAAAGAAGGGACAGAAGGAAGAAATGGAAAGCGAGAGAGCGCAGAGGAAGGCAATGGGTTGTACTTGGCAGATTTTAAGAGGGGCTGGTGGTGATGGTGTGGCAGATGGGGAAAGCCTGCATTTTCAAGGGGTGGAAGGACAAGAATCCTTAGATTGCCTGGAATGAACAATGATTTCCCCTGAGTGAGACCCTTTGTGATCAGGAAGGAGCAAGATGCTGCAGGCAGAGCCTACGAGGGGCGCTTTCAAAGCTCACGCAAATTGGACTGGGTTGAGTCCTGCCATTTCATCTGAGGACTGGTCCTTAGACTTCGCTCACCTGGGCAGGAAAAGCAGAGGAGACAGGACCAGTTAAACTTGTAGTAGATCTGACTTTTCCATGATGAACCCAGGACAGTCTCTGGATAGATGGGGGTCCCCCTGTGCCTTTGTTGGGTACCATATTTGGCAGAGAGCTATGGATATGAAAGGTCAGGGGTGGCACAGAGGACAAAGTCACTGCCTCGTGCAAGCAAGAACTTAACTGCTTTCTGGATAGAGCTGTTCTCTAGAGACATGTAGGATGCTTCCTTTGTTACTTTTTTTTTTTTAAATGAGAGAAATACTTTTTTTTTTTAAGATTTATTTATTTGAGAGAGAGAGAGAAAGTGAGAGAGAGAGAGAGAGAGCGCACGAGTAAGGGGGTGGGATAGGCAGAGGCAGAGGGAGACGCAGACTCCCCGCTGAACAGGGATCCCGACTCGGGGCTCGATCCCAGGACCCTGGGACCATGACCTGAGCCAAAGGCAGACACTTAACGACTGAGCCACCTAGGCGCTGGGCCCTTCTGAAAAAGACCTCTAAGCACAAAGACAAGGAATCCTACATTAAGATGCTGAGACTGATTGATGGTGGCACACTCAAACAAAATCAGAATAAAATTATCATCCCCAAACAGCACAGGGAACAGGGTTAAGAAGAGCTCAATTCTGCCATTTGTCCCTTAAATGGCTAAAATAGGGCTCTGAAGGAACAGAGTGAATAATAGGGGGTATTAACCGGGTCTCTGTTCCAGGGCACGTAATAAAAGCAGAATGGAACAATTAAAACACTTGTGAGCAATGAATATACTCCTAAATCTCTCTCTCTTTCTCAGAATGAGTTACTGAAGATGGCTATAAATGGGCCAAAGCCCAACTGTGGTAGAACCCGAATAACCAGGAAAAGCCTGCCTCCCTTGGGATTTATATCCCTGATAACCAAGACTGGACATGGGGCTTGCAGGGACAGGAACCCAAGAACAAGGGTCCATGGGGAGGCTGAGAAGACGAAGCCAGAGGGTGTGTATAGATGATAATAATCCTACTGAGGCATCATGTGGTAATAGTAATTACTAGAGATCCAGCATCTGAGGCACCTACTGCCCTTCTCCCTGGATCTGTCCAAGACCCTCAAGGCAGAAGATCGGACAGTGGTCTGTGTGTACTTCAAGACAGCTAGCTGACTGCATCCCAGTGCCTTTTTCTTTTCAATTATGAATTAAAAAAAAAATTCCCAGTAGAATACACAACATAAAATTTATCACGTTAGCCATTTTTAAGCATCCATTTCAGTGGCGTGATATGCTTTCACACTGTTGGGCAACCAGTGACCGCAAAAATGGTCTTTCTTGGAACCAGCTACCAGCCTCCTGGACAGAAGGCTGTAGGTTTCAGAGTTAAGAATGTGTATTTCCCCTATGTGGAATACGAAACATAGAAAATTTAGAAGTTCTGGCCACTGGTACAGAGTACTTAGGAGTTTAGTGGAGGCCTATTTAGGAAAAAAAAATTTTAAAGAAAAGGCCCCTGGACAAGAGAGCACCCTACTTTCTACTCCATGTTGCAATGGGCAGGTGTTTCTTAACAAAAATGTCAAGTGAAAGGATCCCGAATCTCCTGGTAATGTTCCCCCACTCCCTGTTCCAGATCATGAGTGGGTTTTGGAGTTGGGATGGGAAAGGGAATGAGAAAGGAGGCTGGACACGTTTTGCTTCTCCTTGGAAGCTTTCTTCTCCAAGTGGGGCTGCTTGATCCCCACACTACAAGGGGTCTCACGCACTCAATAAAATCTCCTCAGACCCTGACTGCCATAGAGCCTTCAAGTGTAAGTTAGACCAAGCCCCAGTGGGCCCCTAGTCCTGGTGGTTTATGTTGGGCTGGTGACAACAGTCATCCTGTTGGACGGCTGGTTTCAGGTTTCCGAGATGACCCCTCTGGGACTGGTGGTGAGTTTTAGCATGGAGTCTGTGAAGCCAGAGATCCGTGGGTGCTGTTCTAAGACAACATCAGAGGGCAGATCCTAGACCCCGCCCCTTGGACTCCACCAACGCCCAGTGTGGTGGATGGACCTCAAGGTGGCCCCGTGGCCTCGGATCTCCTGGCATTCACACCTTTGTGGATTCTCCCTTCCCAGGAAGCTGGAGCTCCCCAAGGGAGCAGTAACTAGACAGGCTGCCTTCCTGCGAAGGTGAAGAAAGCCTGAGCTGCAGACTTCGCAAGTCGATTCATACACAGGGTTTGTTACCCACGGGCCTCTCTTGGCCTTTAAACACACGGTACTGGGGAATGGACAGCTGGGTTGTACTCAGCGGGTGCTGGGAGGAGGTCGGTCACAGAGGGGACACACCGCTCCACAGCCCCTTGCAGCAGGGTGCTCTTCGACCTGTTGAGTCAGCCCATGGTGAGGTGCGCTGCTCGTCTCCACCACCGCCCGCACCCCCCCCCCCGCCGTCCCGGGCTGTACCTGAGTGAAATTGTCCAGGGCCTTGTGCAGGTTGGCATGCATGCCTGTGGGAGGCTCGTTGGTGATCTTGATGGAGTTCTCCAGGATGCCCTGGGGGATGATGTGGCCCTCCGGGGAGGGTGCAGGCTCCGCACTGATGAAAACCCTCAGCTCCGGGTGGCTGTTCTCACCATACTCTGCTAACTTCTCTTCCAGGGTGCCGAGCCACTTGGCCACCAGGTGGATGTTCTAGTGGGAAGGAAGACCCCCCCTCTGCCAAATCAGGTACCTGCTCAGTTTTGTTAGTGGTGGATGGTTTCAGGAAGGCAGCTACGGGGGTGGGGGGTGGCCTTCAAATAAAGCTCATCGCAGCAGGTATCTTGAGGTTCCCAGTGATGGGACCTGCCAATCTCTGGCAGTTGAACCCTATTCTCTTATCTCCCAAGTCTCCCCACAGTGCTCAGATCTGACGCTGCACAGGAATCCCCTGCGGGGCTTCTCAAAACAAAGATTCTTGGGTCTAGGGTGAGGCCTGAGAATTTGCATGTCTAACAAGTTCTGGGCGATGCCGAAGAATGCTGGTCTGTGGGCCACACTTGAAGACTCGAACACACGGTCCAGACGCTCCAAATCCAGATCCCCAGCTCTGACACCTGGAGGATTTGAACCCTTGATAACTCAAGAGCGGGTCCCATGGACCAGCAGTGTTGGCATTCCCTGGGCGCTGTCTAGAAATGCAGACTCTTCGGCCCTACCCAGATTTCCTGAATCAGTGCATTTTAATCAGATCCTGCCGTGATTTGTATGCGTGTTAAAATGTGAAAAGCACTGATTTAAACTTCTTGCTAGCTTTCTTGCATCCTCTCTTCCTCTCTCCTAACCATTCTGCTAATTGTTGCCAGACTTATCTTCCTAAAACACACGGAGGCATTGCTGCTCACACTCTGGGGAGGCTTCTTACTCCAAGCCCAGCTCCTCCGTCTGCACCCTTCTCCTCCCCCACCCCCCCGTGTGATTCCCATCTGTCTGTCTGTCTGTCTGTCTGACCCTACATTTATTTCTCAGCACTACTTTGCAGAATCCACCTTTTGCTGTAGCCAGGATGGTTTCTTTGCAATGTTTCATTATGACGGACAGATAAAAGCTCCTCCATAAATATTTGAGGAAGCCTGCTCGCAGAGCCTTAACTACACAGATCAGCATGGCACAGAGTACTTGGCCCTGGCAACCCGGTCTCTGAGTGCTGCTTTCTCTTCTATAAAAGGAGAAAGAACAAGAATATTGGCCCTACGTATTTCAGAGAGTCGCTGCAAAGAACCAGAGGTAATGGATTTGAAAGGGCTTTGTGGACCGTAAACCGCTATGTAAGCATGAGGGGTGGCTGTTGAAATGAACATTTGTTAAGGAATTCATTTATAATCCCTGTGTTGGAGCCGAGGCTTCAGGAGGCCGCCTGGGAATGCCCGGGCTGTGTTAGCTGGGCCGGGCCAGCGACCCGCCAGTGAGCCCTCCGCTCCTCCCGGGGGAATGCCAATTCCTGAATTTAATCTGGGAGAGCTTTCGGGAAAGGACACCAGCAGATGCGAGAGTCCTCACTTCAGCACAGCCAGGGTACCCCGAAAGAGGCCTGGCCCAGCCCCAGCTCCCCTGCAAGGTGCATAAACCAGGGATGAGGGGACAGGCAGTGACAGAAGAGGGGCCGCCCGTATGTCTTGTGGGTTTGCTGAAGTTACCCGCAGGGGGCGTTCCGGACTGGCACCCACCGACATGCGCTCGGGGTGCAGAGGCTGAGGTCCAGTTACATCTGTGCTGTTGTAGAGAACACAGAATGCAGGGAACAGTAGAAGGGCAGAGCAGTGGAAAGTTCTGTGATACGCTGGGAAGAGGTTAGCAGGCAAACAAGACCCGGCTTCCACCATCTTCAGCCGGTACCTACTCCCCGAGCAGGCCCCAGACTGGGATGTAAGTGGAGCTATTTCAACTGGAGAGGGGGGCGGGGGCCTGTGAGGGGCAAGGGACAAGGAGTCGTAGGGAGGGGTGAGGGGGACCCCAGAGGAGGGAAGGAGAGAAGATCAGGCAGTGAGACGGGCAAGGGTGAGGAAGGAAAGGCAGGGGAGAGGGGCAGAGAGGACAGAGAAGCCCAGAGATTGTCCTGTGAAGTCCAGACAGGTGGGGGTCAAGAATGACCCTGAACATGGCAGAGGGGGCGTACCTGCAAAATAACCCAGTGACCTTTCTTGGCAGCCAGGTCCAGCGCCGCCTCAGCCACTATTTCCTGTCCTTGCCCCAAAGACACGTTGTGGAAGTTCCTGTTGTTGAAGGTGTACCCGAGCTTTTTACCTGAAAGGGGTATGGAGTTTTCCTTATTCTCTCGTGTCCGCCATCTTTGTTGTCCCGTGCTCACACGGAAAGGCCCATGGCCACATCGCTGCTCAGATACGGATGTGTCCGAACCCTCATACCCTTCCCCTCTTCCTTTCAGGAGTGTGTTGGGGGGTGAGGGATACTTCTTCTCGATCTCTGTTCCCAAACAAAAGGAAGCACTCATCTGGGTTTCAACCCTTCCCCTTCAGTTAATCCCCAAGGATGGGCTGAAGTGCTGACGCTCTTCTGCATAGATTCACTTGAAGACCAGGCATCAGTCCACCACCCTAGAGGCTGAAACAGCCGGCAGATGAGCAAGCATGTGGGTGTGGCCCCTCCTGACTTGCTTTGTCCTCTAAGGATTTTCCCTGGAATTCCATGGGGAGGGATGGTCGGTAGGGGCAGGACTCAGGTAGTTCCGGCTTCCTGTACTTCACTCCTTATTAGCCTCCTCCACCAGTTTTTTCCAACACATAGAAATGTCTTGTCTCCTCATTTTGCATGACTGAGAGGAATGAGGAGCAAAAGGCAATACAAGAAAGGGCTTGGCTGTGCAGGTGGAGATGCTCTGCAAGCTGGGAAGGGCGGCTGGTATCAGGAGCCGGGCAAGGGACCTGCTACGGTAAACACACATCACAACCATCTCCGAGGGTGTTCTGCCGGCCCAGGAAGACCTTTACACAAAGCAATTAACCTTAGGTTCGAGGACCACTTCTGCTTTGGTGTCAGCTATTTGGCTACTAGGCCCGTACAATAAAGTTTAGAGAAATTACATAATATTCTTTAGACAGAGGATCATAAAAGTGTATATAGTGCCATGCCGGAATCATTGAGCAATTTTCTTCTGGGAAGATAAAGTACGTGAGAGAAAGGAGAAGAAATAGAAAAATAGAAAAAGGATAAAAAAAAAATACGTCCTTAAACATTTCATTTCAGCGGAACTGAAATTGAAGATGCAATTCAATACTTGTGCAAGAAAACTTAAACCAAACTGTCAATACCGGATACTTCTTTTAAATACTAAGAAGAAGTACAGAGTCTCCTTCGCGAGTCTGTATAAGACAAAGGATGATGACTTTCTGCAGCGAGGAAGAGTTACTAGAGATTCAACTGAGATGAACCCAAGAAACACTCTTATTAAACCATAAATCCTTGCTGGCAACAGACGTGATGTCAGCTTTGGAACCAGCAGTATAAACCACTTATTCCAGAGAAAATATCAGGATAAAAGGTGCCAGGGTTATTAGACAGTCTCAGTGAGGCTCGTACTCACAAAAGAGCCCATTTCTTTTCTTTGTCAGAGAGACGTAGGAGAAGAGGGGCTCACTGAAGATTGGTTTGCGAGCCACGGACTGCGGAGATGGTTTGGGGCAGAGACCGGTGTGCGGGGTTGCGGCGGGGGGCGGGGGGCGTTCATCTTGCATTAGTCTAGGCTTGAGGCGTAATGATGAGGCTGACGTGGAGATGTTGAGAAGGGGAAGCATTGATGGGATTTGCAAGGTCTGAATGTGCCAGCCCTGTGATGTGCCTTGTGGGGTCCTTCCCTTTGCAACTGTGGGGCTCTCAGGACGCCCTTCCCTGTCACCAGCAAGCCCCTCTCGCCAGCCACGTTCCCGTGGCTTTTCACCTTCATGCTGTTTTGTACCTTGGAATCCATGCCCCCCACTCTCACCTCCCTTTAACTCGTCTTTCCTTTCCTTTTCTGATCTTCCTTCCCACTCTCCACGTGGCACTCTTCCCTGGGGTGGTGTCCATTGTAAACCTCCTTTCACACCTTCCCAGTGTGCTTCTTTGTCTCTGAGGACGTGGCACCTTCCATGGCCCTCTCCCGAGCTCCATGTACCCATGGGGCTGGGAGGAAGGGGGCTGTTTTTCTAGCTTCATCTTGCTACTTGCAGGTGATTTCTTCCCATCCCCATATAAAAACCCCTTTTCTTTTTAAGCATGTGCCATCTGGCTATATTATCTACTCACGTCTATGTTCTCTGCCTTCCACCAACTTCCCAGTGAGATTCACTTCCATTAGGGGCTCTGGAATTCCGTTCAAAATCTTCCGTATGTCCCGTTTCATCATTATCCCGGTAAACCTCAAGGTTGTGACAGATGACTCAGCCAGCCTCCAGCCTCATACCTCGTCATCTTCAAAGAACTGAACTCCATCCACTTCCGTTACTCACTCCCCATGGCTGTACCCAGGACTTCACTATCGCCGAGGATTATGTCGGACACATTCTTCATTTGCGTTTCCTCCTATCGCTTTCTACTTTCCAGGCAGTTCCCTCTGTTACTCCCTCCTCATCTGTTATTCTACTTCAGGGAAATGCCCAGTCCATTGGCTCCTCTATTTTTTCGACTCTTCACCTTGACTTCTCTCTTATTTTAATATGGATTCAACAACCCTTAATTGGAACGATGATCTTACAAAATCCTCAACTCTGGTGCCCCTTCTATTTCTGCGCCACCCAACTTCTGCTAAATTCATCCAATCCTGGATGAGTTAACAAGAGAGGAAGGGAAACATTTGGTGAGTTGGAGCCACCCCAAGTTCATGATTCTCATCCTCAATGATGTTCGGCAATCTTTCCGTGTGCCCAGAAATTGGCTATATTGCCCATTCCCTTTCTCTTTAAAAGGCCCCACCCTACTTACTCCCAGCAGCTTGCTTCCTTCTCTGCTTCCCTGGGGAAACATACGCCATGTGGCAGGAACTCCTTCAGTTTTCTGCCATTTTATCTGCATCCCTGTACATCTCCATCTCAATGGAAGAGGTGTCCTCCCTCTGCCTTTCACTCTTCTGTTCCCTGAATCCCATCTCTCCTTGTATCATCAACCTTTATCTCCCTATTCACTCTCCCACTCCCTGGCACATGAACAAATGAGTCTCTCTCAACACGAAAAACAGTATTTCGCTAATCTTGAAGCTGTTTGCCAAGACTGCACTTGCTTCACCTCACCGAGTTCCAATGGACTATTAAAAAAAAAAAAAGAATAGGGCTAGGAACAATGGGAAGGAGGGTGCATGCAAAGTGTTGATAATCTGGCTACAGAAACACTAGATTGAAAACGTTCTTTGAACACACTGGGTAGCAGGTTTGCAAAAATTGAAGCGAGCTCATAGTTCTGACCAGCACATCGGAGAGAGAGAAAGGAAAGAGTGGAAGATAAAATGGTGGCAGATACAGCTTCTTCCTGATCACAACGTGGACATAACAGAATTATTTGTTAAAACCAGATAACTGAACAAAGGAGGAGAGAGACCGAGCAAGATCATGTGAGAGTCAAGTGAAAGACAGAGAAGATGCCTGCGAGTTAGGGTGGAAAGGGGAGCTGTGGGTTGGGAGGGCCAAGGACGACGCTATGCTTCAAAAGGATGTAGAGGAGGGAGCCAGCTGAGCTGCCTTAAAGAACAGAGGAATTATCATCTTCATTAGAATGTTGTACAGTGCTACTGTATTTCGAACATTTAAAGTCTTTTCATGTTCGAGATTTCATTTCTATCCTACCGTAGCCCTAGGAGGCAGGTATTATGGGTGATTGCAAAAAATGGGGGATTACTTTTAAAAGAAGCAAAGGCGAGAATAAATGTGCAAATAAGGAAGTATGGCTCATTGAGGAAGGAGGTGATGAGGAAAAAGAGAAAGAGGGTTACATTAAAGCACTTTAAGGGATTAATCTGAGAAGGCAAGAAGGAAAGCAGTGGGGGTGGATGGTGCTAGGTTTCGTGTTAAAACAGAAGCCAAGGAAAGTGGATGGAATTTTCTCTTACTCCCCGCCCCTCTCCGCCCCCCCTCCAAAGTTGTTGAGGAAGGAAAATCCTGGAGGGGACTAAGGCACAAACGTGCCAGAAAAGCATAGATTCCTGATCAAGGGTCAGTGGATGATCTTTAAGGGACTAGAGAACTAAAATCTTACACAGAACTTGGTCTGTGGGTTCAGTGCATCTGGTTTGGGGGTGGTGGTGGTGGAATGAGAATGAGGCTACAAATCTTTCATTTGACTCTCAGGTAGGTAGGTTGGTTGGTTCATTCATTCATTCATTCATTCAGCTCCATGCCCAACGTGGAGCCCAATGTGGGACTTGAACTCACAATCCTGAGATCAAGACCTGAGCTGATATCAAGAGCCAGATGCTTCACCGACTGAGCCACTCAGGTGCCTCTGACTCTCACGTTTTAAAACCCTACCCAATATTAAAAACTGCCATGTTGAAACAAAGGGATAGAGAAATGAAGGAGTTAACATAAATCACAACTCAAAAATGGGAAAGGATGCCAAGCTTTATAAGAGTCTATGTGGAGTAAAACAGTGAACTGTCTGATACACAGACTCTCCCCAAGCATAGAGACAGTAAGTTTACTTAATAAGTTGGGGCTAGAGAGAGAAGAAAGTGTGAGTCAGTTATGTAGATTCCAAACTTGAGAAGAGGAGCCCATCAGGCAATCTGATTTGATTCAAGATGCAGAAAGCATGGCTGTCACCAGAGTGTATGCTCTAAATGGGTGAATTAGAAAATAAATCAAGCCATCAAGAAAGCAAGAAGGAAGGGAGAGGGAGAGAAGGAGGCCCAGGCGCCTAAGTAATCTATAGTTGATGAACAGTAATATTGCCTCTAGTAAGGAAATAGGCGTTAAGATTAAGCCAAGGGCAGGACTGAGATAATGAATTCAGAGACAACCAATATGGATCAAGGAGGGGTCAGCATCCCTAAATGACAGAAAGCCTCAAAGTACATGATGGAAGAGATGGAGGTCAATTGGCAAAGAACAGTAGGAAATTGCTCATAAACAGGGTATATGAAAGCTTCCAAAAAGGAAAATACTGAATCAAAAGGAGGGAACTAGATTTTGCCAATATGAAAGGAATAAAACCTCCAGAAGACAGAAGGAATACAGAACTCTATAAAAGGGTGAAAACTAGGAATAACTCAGCTGTGATAACAGTTCTTCCAACATCCCTTCATTTGTTAATTCATTCAA